TTGCTATTTAATCAAGATTTTTTGAGCTTCATAATTGTTTTGCGGTTTACCATAACAGACAGTCAATGCATGCTGTCACAAAAGGTGTGCAGACTGCAGTGACCTATATCTTTTTTTCTGGCCATTAATGATAGCTTTTGGTAGGCAGCACTTTAAGGTATGTGTCTATATATAAATGTACTTAAAATATTTCTAAACAAATAATAAAAATACAATCTGTGACAACTAGCCCCCGCTCTGCCTTATATTTATTTTCAGCCTCACTTGAAAAAAAAACAAGACTCCATGTCAAAAGTATTCTCTGTGTCGGCCTTTCCAAAATTTTAACTTAATTTAATATATTTTTTCCAATTCCACCACTCTGTCTGTGGCCCAATGATCACATAGATTCACTTAATAATGTTAGGATGGTTAGAAACGGTTCCAAACTAAATTCTCTTCCTCCGCTGGTCTCAATATACTGCACCGCGTAAACAAGCGCGCGAGTCCCCCGCCCCTTCTCTCTCTGCGCGAGCTGCTGCCAGTTCCGCGTCGGCCGCGAGTTTACCAGCCACGCACTGCCTGCACGCGCTCAATCCGCCGCCGGACTGCAACGATGTGACTCTCTCTGGCTTTCAGAAGCCCCTTTTTTCAGCCTCTATTAACGGCCCAGCACTGAGCGAGGCGAGGGGGTTGCAACGGTGAGTGTATTTCTGCCACGGAACGTGGGAATCTGCGCTACGTTAGCGGTTTGGGGGCACCGAACGTGTGTAAAGTTTGGGGAGGGGGAGAAATTGTGTCATGTGGTACGACAGAGGCTGCTTGCCCGTCGGTCCGCTCTAGTGGAGCGGATAGATACATAATTACAGAATGTAAAAACGACGTCGCGAGATGAGCTCAACTTGCCATGTGTTATCATTTCCATGGGGATGACGTCACGCAGTCCTTGACGCCCGTGCGCGCGGCTCGCGCTGATGAGATAACGGGACTGTGACACACTGCGCGTTTCGCATGCACACTAGCTACACAGGAGCAGGTCATCGGTTTATAATGCGTTTTAAAGGGAAAATCACAGTCCATTCTCGTTAGTTATTAATTACGTAGCAGCCTGTGAGTTGTTGTTTTTCTCTTTATACATATGTATTACATAAACGGCAGAGAGCATCGCAAGGACTACGTCGTCATGAGAAATGATTGACCGATGACGTTGTTTTTCTGAAATACTGTAACAATGCATGCTCATATGTAAATCTGTTTAACAGTTTAACCCTGAGACCCATTTATATAGATGATGTATGTTATCTTTTTCTCGTTTAAAGTGGTTTTAGAAAGCTATTAGTTATAATAATCGTTATTTTGTTTTCGGGTTAATTTTGATATTGCAGAACTGTTGGGCTTTCACAACTGTTTACTATGCTTTTGGGGCATGTTGTCACAAAAAGGCCAGTGTGTTTAAAGACATGCATTCATGTCAGAGCAGATCCTGGGATATCCGTACGCCTTGCTTACTCTCGGTCAAGTACCTGAAATTGCATATTTAGAGACCTGTACTGATGTCCCAAACAATTTGGAGTAGTTTGTCTATGATTTACAATTTTTTCAGTGTTAGCATACAGTTCAGAGGGTTAAATAAGTAGTTTTTACTCATATTTACTAAAATAAGTGTGTTATTAAATTGCATTGATAAAGTACTGCAATGTACCTACTGTACAACATTTAAAATAAGCACTTCTAATAATCTCTATGTGTTTAATATTATGCTAACCTACAACATTTACTACTGACCCACTAAAAATATTGTTTGATATTCTACTTTTTGGGAGACTTTGGTCAGTTCTGAAATCAGGCTCTTAAATATTCAATACTTTGCTATGTGTGCATTTGATGCAAAAGTAGGGCCTCAATATCCTTGCTGAATCTGGTGGTTATATTGTAGGCCACACAACCTTAACATCAAGCCAATGAAAACTCAAAAGAACTCTTGAAATGACACACCCTTAGCTTTTCCCGTCTCTCCTGACAGGGACTTTCCTATGAGTTTTCAGACTGAAAGGAGTCCTGAACTCTGATACACTTTGACTAATAAAGATCAGCTCAAGTCTGGTTTGAGCTAGATTGGTTTCAAAATAGACTTTGTGGTGTAATCAGTTTTGATTCTTTGCTTGTCAAGTGGAGGCATAAAGTATAACTGAAAAGTCACTAAAAGCAGGTAACAAGTATTCCTAAAAGTAACCTTTATATGTGCTTTTTAAACTAGGTTCACTCTTTTAACAGTAATGTCTTCAGATCGGAGTTACAGCTGCCTCAAAACCGAGGCGATGACAAAATCACCGTGGCAACCCTGTGTTGGTGCACAGGCAGCACTGTGACTCTAACTTGCGATCTCCTGACCTCTGTGACCTTTGAGTCGAGATGGCGACCCACCGAAAGCACCTGGTCCGAGATTTCAACCGATATATCACCTGCTCAATTTGCCGTGGGTACCTGATAAAGCCCACCGCTGTCACAGAATGCCTGCACACTTGTAAGTCATCCATGTCTCACACATTCTCTTTATGTCCCCTTTATGTCCCCCTCTTCTCTTTCTGAGAATAAAAACAAACAGAATATTTTGGAAATATTCGCTATTAGAAATTTGTCAGAATAAACTGGCCTCTTTCTGGAATTATTTTGTTTCATGTGATGAGGTTAAGACTTGTGTATGGATCTGCTATAGCACCTGCAAAATTTCCAAAAATGGCTGCTGCTATTGTCATTATTATGTAATGCGAAAATGGCAACTGTATGTCTCTTAGACCTGCCCATACCTGCTTATCTGACCTGCCTCATATCTTTACTGTCTCTAAAATCTATTTGTTTCACACTTAACATGCTTAACATCCAAATTCTTTGTCTGACCCACCAGAGAGTCTCCTAATGTTTGGTAGATACAGCGGGGAGGGTAAGCAGTGGTTGTTTGTCTGAGAGCAGTGGGTCACTGAAAGTAACTTGATAACCTTTAAAAAAAATCCAGTAGTGTAAGGGAGTGACTAACTAAACTACAAATCCAGTGTTGTTATTGTTAGCTAAAACTAAAACCATTAAAAATTGTTTTTGTTAATTGAAATAAGGCTGAAATAAAATAAAATTAGAAATGTTGCCTAAGTTGAAGTTAATATAAAAACTGAAAATAAAAAAAGATATATTAAATTATGAATATGTTAATTGTATAAAAAAAGAGTACTAAAATGACACTTTAAAAAATTAACCAAATAATTTTAGTGAATCAAAGTTGGCTTTTTTTTGTAGCAATATACAAAATATAATAATTGTACAATCAAATTGTTTGCTTATTTAATGCTTATTTTATTTAATTGATGTTGGTCACTATTTTTACTATTTTTCAGTACTTTTACTTGTTTTTGCAATTCATGGTATTTTCTACGTTTATTTGTGGTTTTGTGAGTAAATTGTGTATTGGTGGCATTTAGTTGTAAATTTATCTATTAAATATTTAATTATTTTAACTTCAATGACCTGTGTCATGTATGAGCTATCACTAAGTGAATGAAAATGGTTTGATAGTTTGAGAGTAATTTGACCTGATCCTCTCATTCTCTTGTTTCTCTTCTGTTTTTCCTTCTATTCTTATTCCACTCTCCTCTAGTTTGTAAGAGTTGTATCGTTCAGCACTTTGAGGAGAGTAATGAGTGTCCGGAATGTGGGATACAAGTCCATGAAACCAACCCTTTAGAGATGCTGAGGTACCCAAACTCACCCACGCTCATTTCTCACATGCACAGATTAAGTACACACACAAGTCCTATGTGTTTTATATGGTGTCTTGGCCTTTCTTCTTGCAGGTTAGATAAAACACTGGAGGAGATCATCTTCAAGCTGGTGCCTGGGCTAAGAGAGAGTGAGTGTGTGCATATATATATATATATATATATATATTCACACACAGACATACATACTTTATTCTCTATAATGTGGTTGTTTATGTGGTTGTGTTTTGGTTAGTAAGGGTTTATATATCTGTAAACTGCTTCTTAATGTACTTTTTTTAAATGATTGTGTTTATTTACTAGAGGAGGAACAACAGGAAAGTGAGTTTTGGAGAAAAAATAAGATCAAATCAAACGGAGAAGGTAATACTTAACTATTCCCTACACAAAATCCACAACCTCTCACGCACACAGTCACATATACACATACAGAATATACCAATATACTTTAAGGTTAAAGGTCAGATTTGCTTTGTCTATCTTCTAGATGGCCCTAGGGCTAAGAAATCTCGCCTGAGTGATGAAGAGGACGATGATGGGAAAGCTGGAGACTACCACAGGAGTGATCCTCAGATCGCTATTTGTCTGGACTGTCTACGAAACAATGGCCAATCAGGAGAAAGCATAGTTAAGGTACATATAGACAGTATAGTTCAAAATATGATATGTATATATTGGGATGTATGTTTGTGTGTGTGCATGTTTATAATTTGCACTCCTTTTCTCTGCAACAGGGTTTAATGAAGAAATTCATCCGTTGCTCCACTCGTGTTACAGTGGGAACCATTAAGAAGTTCCTCTGTGTAAAATTGAAGCTGCCAAGCTCTTATGAGGTAAAATACTGTTTTATTACTCTCTCACAGGGCTGTCAACACAGGCAAATGCTTCTGTGTGTGTATTGAGAGTTAATAGAATCAATACAGATATTAATTAATGAGCCTTTACCCATCAGTTGTGAAACTTGATAGCCAATGAAAATTGTTTCTGAGGTTGTTCTTTCTGAGATGTTTCACTAAATGTGTATGTAACACAAAACATGCCATACTCTTTATGTGCCTGTTATTTGATTATATGAAACATAATTTGCCTGCTTTTGACTCTGTACCTGTTACTTACAGCTCGATGTTTTGTGTAACGGAGAGATCATGGGCAAAGACCACACCCTGGAATTCATCTACCGCACTCGCTGGAGACTTCAGGGTGACAGTGTAAGTGCATATGTTTGTGGGTTAAGTTTTGTCATTATTGTTGAGAATAAATGTCTCTACAAGGATAGTAAAACCGAAAATCACCTACATTGTATGAACCAGCCCACAATCCCCAGGAGGAAAATGGCTTTTTAAACATCCTTAATAATGACTCAATAAAAATGTCAGTGTTCATGGATAAAAAATATAATTAGCTCAGTATTACAACATCAGAAGTTATTAGAACGTTACCACCATTTTTTTTTTGTCAATAATCCATTTCACTTGGATGTACATCACAATCAGTACGTTTACATGGACAACAATACTCCGATTTTAATACAATTAAGACAATACTCTGATTAAGAATCTACCATGTAAACAGAGATTTTTGATTACCTTAATCCGGCTAAAGTCATAATAGAAGTAAACACTAATCGAATTAAGACGTGGAGTATTCCTATTTTAGTCGCATTATCAAAGTGCAGTAAAGACATGTACACACCTTAATTACATTATTACCATCGTGTAGGACTTTTTGCCGCATTTTGCGACAGGATACACACACGGCAGTGCTCAACCGTTTGATGGCAAACAAAAGAATGGCTTCAACAATGCCGTCATCTGTTTGCATGTATAGCATGACAAATAATTAACTGCACTTGAAGCTTTCAGTAAATTAAAAATGAAACACCCAAAACTGTATATGGCATCATAACGAAAACGAACTATATGTTTATACGTGAAATTGGACGTTGGATGGCGTCGCGTGGTGACGTAATGACGTGTGCCATTAATCGATCTATGTACTATAACATGTAAAACGGGAACATGAAAGGAATATTCTAAAAGTAACTCAGATAAACACCTTAATCGTAATATTGTCTTATTCAGAATAAGGTAAATAATTAGAGTGACTAATATGGAAGAAAAGATCTGCTACTTCTGTTACATTGAATATTTAACAGTTTCCTTTAGTACAATGACAATACAAAGCTAATTATTTAATTCTGAAAACATGTTGTCTTAATAATATCACTATAAATACACAGTATAAACAGGTGTTTATAAATAAAAGTCTATAGCCACCTTTATATTTTAGGAAGGGGGTCATCATAATTTGGTATCTTTGGCATCAAAAAGTTTGAAAACCCCTGCACTAGAACTTTGACAAATAAATTATTGAAAAGTTAATTTGAGCCTGAATATGTGGGTGTGTTTGAATCTGTGTGTAAGTGTGTGTGCTCATGAGAAGTGTGAACAGCTGCCGCTGAGTTGGTGGTGATTGTGGGGGGCAGGAGCAAAAAAAAAAAAACTGTTCACAGCTACTGACAGATCTATGAGTCATATTTCTCCAGTTACACACACACTAGAGGCTGACACAAAATCAGAGGACACATCGATGCCCCTAGGGTTTGTGTCCTTGCCTTTTACACCACTAGAGAGTAAGATAGAGAACTATGATGATATAATGAAAATGATACCCTGCTTAAATTTGAATATTCAAAGTCATTCTTTACTTTCGTTTGCACCCCAGGCTTACCCCATGGTTCTCGAGTACCGCCCAAGGATCGACTTTGGTTAAACAGCACTTACGGCTTTGCGGAAATCTCATGCAGACTGATGTCAAGAGATCAAAAAGCAGAACAAAAAGCAGAAAAACTGAATGATTGTGCCTCCGTTGAAAGACAACAACACAAAGCCCATGACTGACAGGACTGCTCTCTACTTCCTGTGCACTGCTTCAGCCTCTACTCCTCCATTCCTCCCTCTTTCAATTTCCTGTTTGACAGTTGTGGCTCCACCAACTGGCACTGTATCAAGTTTATAGATTATATTCCTCCAAAAGCTTTCTCTGCATGTTGTCTCTATGATGACGACTTAGCCTAGAGTGGCCTGTTGGGATTATCTGATAGCAATCTAGCACAGACGGTAAGCTAAAACTCATCGCAAAGATGCATCCCGACCAGGTGACAGGAGTGAGGAGAAATGGAGACATTTTTAAGATGAAGTCTCACTAGATTTTAGATTGTTTTATTAGGCGATTTTATCCAAGAGTTTGCACTAGAGGCAAATCCAGATGTCTCGCTGCATTGTTGCTGTTCTGTATTACCTTTCCTTTTGGTTACTTTTCTCTCTTACTCTCACCGCCCACATTGTCCCTCATAAATTCAGTGACTCTCTTTCAAGTCATCAATCTCTCCCTTTCGTTCGCTCACACACACACAAACTCACTCTCTCTTTCTCAGCCTCTTTCCATCTTCCCTCAGACTCTCTCATTTTTCTCCAATGGTGTTTTTGGCTCTGGTCTGAAGTATTGATGGATCTCATTCAGTTGGAATTGAATGAGAGCGCTGTAGATGTCCCAAATAACAGCATTGAAAGGCACTCTGGGTAAGCGTTTTCCCTTCACATAGAGCTATGGCCAAGTCTTACATTCACCCAAACTAGATCATTATCTTGATAGAATTGATATAACAATAACTGATGCCAGATATGCTTAATGCAGTAATCCACTGAGAAATCTCATCTTTAAAAACAGTTGAATGGGGAATGACTGAAGTGTGCCAGCTGCATCTCTCTAAGAGCAGCTTTGTCTCACAGGCTGCTAGTTGTAAACATTCTGTTGTTTCCTGTTTTAATCAGACACATATTTAAATGAGATAAAACAATCAAATTCACCTCAACAGACATTTGAATTTTAAAATCAGCACCCGGATTGTTAATAATGCACGTTTAACTGTGTATTTTGAGTGTTGTGCAGCAAATTAAGGCCATGCATTTTATGCAGTTTGTGATGTCTGCAAAAACAACTGTGCAAGGGACATGCAAAAAATACATTTGGTTACTTCCACAAAGTGTAAGAAAAGTCAATATCTGATATTTCTCAATGTGCTTCTCTACTACACAACATGGACATGTTTGTGAGGAGAGAGTTTGAGATTCAAAAATCATGTTTTAAATATTCTAGTTAAGAGTGTTATTTTGGAGCATTAGTTCAGATAAGGTCAGAGGTTAACTTTCTAAGTTTGTTTACATGACAATGTTAATCTTTAATATGTATGTGTAGTAGATAGGAATATTCCATTTGAACAAGTAATTACAAGAAAGAAGTGAAGACCAAACTGAAAAAGTTGCCAAACTGATTTTATGCACATTCCCAGAATGCATTTTGAGAATTAAGGGTTCAAAACATGGAGCTTTTCCAATCCAGATTATATGATGGTACTCAACATAGAACAGAAATACATGAATTATTATTAAGTGAACCTTTGTTTTGGATAATCTCAGGGGATGACACCTGGTGAAATGAGGGTTTGTTAAATGTTTTCCATTTCAGTTTTGGAATCAAGGAATCATAACAATGGGTTTTAGAAATTAGATAGTCACTGCAGTGCTGGAAGTCAATACAGTTAATCAAAAGATACATATAGAATAAAAATGAGACTGATTTTCTTGGCAACACCGTTTTCAGTGGTCTGTATTCATATATCAATAGTGGAAATATATTTGTCTAAATGTTTCTTATGGCAAGCTAAAACTTCATGTTATACCAACATGATCTGTTGTACTGAATCTTAAAAATCATCTGCACTCTGTCAGTTCATTGGAATTCTTGATGTTGTTTAGGACAAAGGCCACTGGCTGCTTTCCAAAATCCAATTCCCTCCCCTCTTAAGAAAACATGCAAATCAAATATGAAGTGTCTTTGAACTCTAATTATAAATACAATGTATTTTTGTATGTTGAAGCACTTATGTATATTTGAACATGTAATCAAAAGATTTTGTCAGTGCTTGTCTTTTTCCTAATAGATGATGCTGCTTGGGGTAATTTATTCTTTTTTTTATACGTCCCACCGCCTGCTATGTGTTCCCCTTGTAAATGTTCGCACTGTACATGGAAAGCTTCCTAATGCTGTTCATGACCTATTGTTATTTAATTAATGAACATTAAAATATTAAAAAATTGTGTATATTTTTCTGTAATTTCTTTGACTATAATCCAGAAATATTTTATTTTGCTGATAAAATTCTGAAGTCTATTATACTTGCATGACAGTTTATCTTGCCATTGGATCTAGTACACGTCTTAGATTGAAAGATGTAAGAAATCTGCATTATTCATATTAATATGGCCTTACAGACTAATACCTTTGAAGCTGTCCAAAGGCATTCTCTAAAAACACCATTTCATGTATGAAATGATATTAGTGTGCGAGTTTAAATCTGACAATGAAAACAAAGACAGGAATGTGCGTTCTTTCAGACTGTTTCTATGCACAGCTCCCTGCCTCTCTTTCTCACTCACTTTTTTCTCCCCCACTCATGCACAAGGAAGTGGAATGTGACATGCATTCCTCTATTAGTCTGTGCATCACTTGTTCAGCTGTCTGTTGGCCCTGCTGTTCATCTTACAAAAGAGAAGGTCAAAAATACTTCACGTAGGACAAAGGCAACACATACTTAACCACAAATATGTCCACATGCCCAGCAACATTTATTGAAGTTCCAAACTTCAGTGTTTAAAGTATATGATTTAGGATTTTGGAAGAACAATGTCAGCAATAATGTTTTTGGATGTTTGCATGTGTTTGCAGAACCGTGAAAGAAATCAGTTACCCAAAATACTTTAAATGTGACCTCTACATAATATGTTAACATCAACAATAGATCCGAATATAAATATGTCCAAAACACTCATGTTCATCACACATACATATGTAAATAAACAAAGAAAGCCTGCCACTGTCTCTCTTTTTAGGCTTCTCTTTCATCATGGCATATCACAGCAACTCTATTTTCAGTCAGGATGAGTTAGAGAGTTCACAGCTCATTTGTTAAACAGAGAAAGTGAGGCTGAATCCCTCCGCCCCCTGCTAGCACTCCAACATTAAACCATTACTGAATAAAAGTGAAGCACATTATAAACACATGCGCAAATGCTGGGAGTTTCCCTCTTATTTACAATGGATATATCCCCAAGTGAATATATCTAGTAGTGTTTAAAGCTTTAGCAAGTGATTATTTTTTTGTTGTTAGAAAAATTAAATGTAATTGCAACAAAATTGTTGTTTCCAAACAGGTTAACACAGCCCCGCTCCTAAACTCACATTGGCTGATGTGGGCATAGGGCCGGCTCCAATCTAAAGAATCTACATTACCATTTTAATTTCAGTACCCATATTACACAAAATCTGCTCTTAGTTCCATATATTCATTTGCTTTTTTCCCCATACCTTTTCTCATTCTTTGATGGTCACCATTAGTTTTATCAGTGCAACACAAGGCCATCTAAAATGAAATGTTTAGAAACAAGATAAAGAGAGGGCAGGGAGATGTAAACTGCTGTTTGATATTTTATCCTCTCCACTTATTGCTGCTTTGTTGCATCATACGGTTGCTGTGTGTATTAACCTGTTAATATCCATAGGCTAATTACATCATTCATGAAAGTCACAGTCATATTCCCTCCTGAATGCTGTCCAATGATTCACTGACACAATTGTTCTTTTATAGACCTGTCACTGGCCAGACACTGGAGCTGATCGCTGGGTGTATTCTGGTAGCACTGTGTTCATTTGGATCTTGTTAACATGGATGATCTACTGTAATTGGAACCTCTCTAATCCAAGAGGCTGCTGTCAGTCATCTTCTTTCTCTACTTATCTCAACTTTTCCTCATATGAAGTCATTAGGTTAATGTCAGAGATCTCATGACATTCCATATTTAGACCTAAAGAGCAAGCCACATGGCACTAATAAGATCATATGACATCACAGTGTTGTGCTGAGTTACATCTCACTGATGATATCACCACTGTGCCAAAGGTCAAGATTAGAACATATTTATATGACAAAGCAGTGCATGTGCGCATACATATATACAGTATATTAATGCTTGTGGGTTTTATCAGTTAACCATCTAAATGAACTGTTTTATATATTGTTACAATATTACTTTTTTGTTTTAAATAAACACTGTTCTTTTTCAAAACTTGCTGTTCATCAAAGAATACTGAAAATCAATCATCATGGTTTCCGCAAAAATATTAAATACATTAATATGGTACTATACTCAGATTATTTTAGTCCAGGCTTAAAATGCAACACCCAGTTTGATACAATGTGTAACAGGGGGTCTCCTTCTCCACCTCTATATCCAACAAGAGGTCCTTGGCCTGAAAAGGGTTGAAGAACCGTAGTGTTAATTCACCTGTCAAAGAGATGATTTGTATTAAATGTATGGCACTTGTCCAGGTCATCTCACTTTAAAGTTCTTACAACTGAGCAGTGTTTTCAGATAGAAGCAGTCTAATTGCACTTTAGGATGTCTCACTTGTACTCGTGATTTTTCACCAGTGCTCATTCCCTGCCAGAACCACCAGCATCTGAATCCTGTTCAACTTCACAGCACTGCTAATGGATCACCTCCTCCTTAACAACGTTATCCAGCTCCACTCCCCAGCCAGGACATTGCACATGGGTGCATTTCAGACACACTTTTCCAACCAGATTGCCTCTTTTACCCACATCCTAAATTCTCTTTGTTCTGGCCTGTTAGACCACTGAAATGCTGTCATTTTATTAATCTGGACGCTATAGCCACTCACGTAGCAAACAAACTGTACAGCATTTTTACTTTTAAAACATTTTTAAAAGAATTTACTGGAGGTGTACTGCACAGTGAATGTGTAAACATTTGTATTGCATTGAAATGTGATTAAATTTAATGTTAAAAATCGTAGGAGAGACAGAGAAATTGTACAGTAGTCTGTGGTGATTTGTGGCGCTCTCTGCTGTTTGAAATAGGATTTATTCAACATTTATCATTTAAATATTCTTCCTAAATGCAGGGAAAATTGCTCAGCAATTCATTGATCAAAGATAAACGTACACATGATCCCAGATTAAATAAACATAGAAATGACAATACAGGACATTTCACCTGTAATTAGTCTAAACAATCTACAACTGTATGCTACTTGACAAATGTGTGCATTCGCGAGTTTTTTTTTTTTTTTTTCAGAGTGA